GCGGCAGCCCCCGAGGGCGGCGGGGCGCTCACCGGCCTGCGGCCGTACCCCTCCCCCGCGCCCCGGGACTCCGGCGAGCCGCCCACGCCCCGACGATGGCCGAAGGGTCCGGTCCGGCAGCGCGGGCGCCCACCCCGGGGGCACCGGGGCGCGGCACTTACTGATCTCGTACGGCATCCTCGCCCACTTGTTACCGCGCCGCGCTCGCCAAGACCCTCCGGGGCCGCCCGCGCCGCGAGATCAGACCTAGCCGAGGCCGAGCCGGGGACAGGGACCGAGAGGCTGCGCCGGGCGTGCCGGGCGCGGAGGGGGCGGTCCGAGGCCGGGGCTCCGAGGTCCGCTCGCGCCCTGCCCTGCGCGTTGCCGCTGCGGACGCACCGAACCCGGAAGCGCGGCCCCGCGCGCGGCTCGCCCCCAGCTTTGACCATATATAGTCAAGCGCTCAGCTCGGCGCAGCGGCCCTGGCGAGCCTGCGCGGACCTGGCCGCGCCCCTCCCCCAACGCGGGCTCCGCCCGGACGCCCCGCCTCCGGAAGTGGCGTCACCACGCGGCCCTGTGAAAGGACGGCGCGGGCGGCGCTTGGCCTCAGCATGGTCCCAGGAGCGGGTGGGCGAGAGGTATATAAGTGGGCGGAGTTGGCAACGGACTGGCCTGCTCGAGGCTGCTCTTTGCTGGGGGTCTGGGTGCGCTGAGAGCGCCTTCGCGCTGTGGGGGGGCAGGGGGCGTCTAGGGAAACCTTTTTCGTGCCTGTGTTTGCGAAGCGGGCGTTCCCGGCCTTCTGGGCGCCGGTGTTTGCAGAAGCTGTGAGGCGACCGCTCGGAATTTGCGAACATAGTGCTTTTTCTTTTCTTTTTTTTTTTTTGTAAAAGCACGACTAAATGAGAGTCGCTGTTCCTCGGAAATAACTGCTGGCAGCAGGAACTTGCGGGGTGTGCCTTGCTGGGCCCGGGCTCTCAAAACTTTCTTTTAGAAAGCTAAGTAGCCAAGAAGAGGCCGGGGAGAGGCTGTAGGTCCTAAGGGAACCAGGGTTGACTCCCTGATAAGAAAGCAGAAGGAAAAAGGGAATTACTCTTGTAATCGAGGCAGTGGCTCCTGCAGGGGGGAAAACAAGGACTCCGAAGTGTTAGAGCTTCACCTTTCCGTGGGGATCTTACTATCTTTCTCTTAACTTGGCGGGGGAACGGTAAATGCGAATGCCTACAGCACCTATGGGCACGTCAGGGCTTTCTCGCTTGGGCTTCAAACGTTTGCGTGATCCTTGACTTCTTGTCTAAGCTACTAGGAAATTCTGTTGGCTCTGTTTTTCGAAATGTATCCAGGGTAGTAATTGGCCTCCTTGGCTATTCCTCTTGCAGCCCCGAGACCCGGAGCCTCACTTGGGTTACTGCAGGTGTATGCTATCTGATCCCCGTGCTCCTCCGCTCTCCCACCTTGATCGCAGCCTGTTCTCCGTAGTGCAGCCTGAGTTTTTTAGATTGAAAATCAAATCTCACTATTCCTCAGCTTAAAACCTATAGGAACTCCAAGCCTCTCAACATAAAAGCTAACCTCCCTGAAATGGCCTACTGGGCCTCAACTTGATAGGTCTCAGGGTTCCGGGAGATGCCATCTACACTACTCAGCGCTCAGCTGCACCCTCCCTTACTTGCTTTCTCTGGCAAGCTGACCTTGGTGCCCCAGGAAACTCCTGAATTGCTCCTGGTTCAAGGTCTCTGACATCTGTCTTCTACCTGGAATTAGTTGTATCCAAAAGTACTGAAGTGTTCCAGGTGTCAATTTCTTGATGAAGGTCACCTATCCGGACGACCTTATTTTAAATTGCAACCCTCCGGCCCTTGCTAACGCTTATACTCCCTTCCCCGACTTGGGTAGAGTGTACCCCTGGCACATGGTAGATGCTCAAATGGCTGCTCCAGCACCCTAAATGCAATCTCAATCAAGATTCAATGGATGCGAACGTAGTCTTGTGAACTGGCGGACCCTAGAAATGTTTTTGTACAAAATGGGTGATGATTAAGGCAGAAATGCAAAACACAAGTGGTCTACAAGTGCGGGCTGTAACTAATCTGAGACGCCAGGATTTAAAGATCAGATCTTAATGGCACTGGGGCTAAGAGCAGGTGTGACAATTTAAGTTCACCCCTAGGGCACTTACGTGATAGAAGAACTGGTGTGAATGTAAAACTAAGGCACAAACCTCAAGCTCTTGCAAGCTGGTAACCCTGCTCAAAATGAGACTACAAAGCAACCCTGGGCAAAACGTCCCGAAACCCCTGGCAGGTTGCTAGGCTGTATGGCTTACTCTTGGCATAAGAGAAAGTTACATGTTAGTTTGGGGGCATAAGAAACTTGGGATGGGGATGCTGTTTGCGATAGAAACCATAAGTATGTCTACAGATAACATGACTTGGCAGGCAGTTGCTGGGGTTGAAAGGAAGGAGAGGGGTACCAGGGTGTTATTCCTACTTCTTGGTGAGGCGAGCTTGATTTAGTAGCCTCAGCCGGAAGGGTCACTGGGGGGCCAGCTGTGCCTAGCTGTGGTTCCAGCACGGTTCCTCAGGTTTTCCTACTCCCCACCTACACCTTTATTAATACAACCTCTTAACAAGCGTGCCTTCTGTCTCGGGGTGGGGGTGGGGGGGGGACCTGTAAGTTCTCTCTCCCAGGGACTCATTGCTCTAGCCCAGCCACTGAGCACCTCACTTCTGTAACCAACTGCTTCCTTGGCACCTCTGGGAGAATGTTGAAGGGTAGGCCCTTCAACTAGATTCTCAAATAAGACTGAAGTAGTATTTGTTACACATTCACTCCTATGCCTGCTGGGTTAATTGACCTGTCTCCCTCCCCACCCCTTGGTAAACATCATGGGAACAGGGTCCACGGGGTTTTCCAACCCTTAGCGAAGCGCCCACCAAGTGAGCCTAGTGAAGCTGCTGATTGCGTCCTAGCGGCATTGAGGGGCAGCATCAGCTGAATGTGCGTTGAAAATCCCAAGCGTAAGTTAGTCTCTTAAAAATATACTACTTGGGGCAACGCCGTAAATAAATCTTCCTTGAGGAAAAGTCCGAGACTGGCTTTGGGTAAACGGGTTGCAGTTGCTTGGGCTGCGTAACTTGGACCAAACCCTTAGATTGGGCTTAGGTCTGTGTAGGAGGCCTTCTGGCTTCTCCTTGGAGGGAGTGGGCCTCAGGTCAGTCCTGCTGAATGCTTTGTAGTGCAAATGAGGGCTGGGGATGCCTGGCTCTACGGGAACCCACCTCGCCCTGAGCGTGCTTAGCCTCAGCCCTTGTTTCATCTTCCAGAAACGGGAATATATAGGAGACAAGTGAGGCTCCTGCTCTCAGGAGCTTCTGGGGAGAAGCAGACAAGCAGAGAAAGACAAGACAGAAGCACACAGGAGTTCCGAACTTCTCTCCAAGGCCCATAAACCTACTTGCTCACTTGCAACCCTCATGTCCTCCTGTTCCAGGCTCCGAGGAAAGGGCTCTCCTTCCTGTTCAAGTGTGTCGGGCGCCTGTGAAGGGCTGTGCCAGAAGCAGGGTGGGCACTGCCTCTCTCCAGGAACTCCTGTTTGGACTAGTCTGTCCTGGAACGGATGTCTGGACAGTGGGGTACCTTCTCTGTCACTGGCCCCGCCCCCTCTGGGACTCTTAGTGTCTTCTGGGTCCTTCCCTGTAGTTTGCAAACAAGCTCAGGTAAGCCACATTCAAGGACCATCTTTAAAGTATTCCTGGGGGGCTGGACGAGTGGCGCGTTGGTTAAGAGCTGGCTTGGGATGCCAGAGGGCCCCGGTTCGGATCCCACATATGCGGGCCAGTGACACTGCCCTCTACAGCTAAGATGCTGAACAACAGCTCAACCTGGAGCTGGGCGGCCGTGAGTCGCCCGCAAAGGCATAGGCTGCAGCCCCTGCTGCAGTGGGTTGCCATGGGCTACCGTGTGTAGCCGGCAGCCAGCGTGAGCAGCCAGCAGCTGCCGTGAGCAGCCGTCCAGAGGCCAGCAACTGATCTGCCTCGCCTGGGAAGAGCACAATAATCATAATACCAACATGGGCCAGTGAAGCAACGTCCTCCACGACTAGACTGAAGAACAAAACGACAGTAACTTGTCTGTTCCCCTTCCCCCAATTCCCCAGCACTGTTCCCATCCCTCAAGTCCCCAATAAAAATCTTTATTTTTTTAAAAGTGTTCCTGGAATAGATCACCTCCATCTCTACTACCTTGAGCCAGCCTCCTACCATCACCTCCAATTTGCACCATGAGCAGCCCCCGCACTCCAAATTCCCAGAATATCTATCCCAGCTGGGTCAAGGGTTCATCCATAGTCCACCTACTGTTTTTCCCCATGTATAAGATGCACCTTAATTTTGTGGCCCGAAATTTGAAAAAAACATAAAGGCATTGAGCTCAAGTTTTATTCATAAAATTCATACAACTCATCACTGTAAAAACTCCCAGCCATTAGTTTGTCCTCATCTGTGTCTGATGACGAATCACTGTCTTCATATATTGCCTCTCATGGCCTTCTTCTGCCGTAGTGTTTTCAGTAGGGTTTCTTCTTCCCATAGCCAGTCTCGGATTGTTTTCTCAGTTGGAGGAAGACCAAACTTACATTCAGCAGCACGATTTCCATTCACTTTTGCAAACTGGATCACTTTTAACTTGAACTCAGCATGGTACAAAAATATTTTCTGAGCCATTTCTGGGCAGAACGTGGCAAAACGTAACCTACTGTAAGTAATATACCAGTAACCAGTGCCAAACAATGAGCGCAAAGATAACAAGCACGAAAAAGCGGGAAATGCAAGTAAAAAAATCTACAACCACTGTATAAGATGCACCCAGTTTTTATACCCCAAATTTTTCGAAAAAGGGTGCGTCTTATACATGGGGAAATACAGTAGTCATGGAGAGAGGGTGAGGTCACATGGGACCGACTTAGCTACCAGGTACCCACCTGGTGCCCTGGAAATCTGGGGTGTGGCTTTGGGCTTTCCTACTAGAAGGGAGAACTACCGAGGGCTGGGCCATCCTCCCAAAAGTTCTGGACTGCTTTTGTCCTCCATGCCTTGTCAAAGAGGATTGATCACACAAAGCCCTGGCCTGCCTTGGTTACCCTATGCAAAAGTATTCGCCTCTGCTGTGTAAAGTCTTCAAGGGAAGTACAAGTGAACTATCTCCAACTGAGCGCACACTGTTGCTGGGTTGCTCTTTGGGCTGCTTAATTGAAAGCAAGTGTACTTAACAGGGTCCAGTGGGGCACTGCACTTTGCAAACAGGTGAAGAACACCTGTATCCAGTGTTTGAAGAGTTTTCAGGCCCCTGCAAACTGTGGAACCTTGTGCATAAGTTACTTTCCCATTTGAGGTTATCTCCAGTAGAGGCACCTCCAAGAGGAGAACTGCAGCACTGCATAGCTTCAGACTAGTTTTCATGTAGTTTAGGGAATACATCCTATTTACTC